AAAAAAAAAAAAAAAAAAAAAAAAAAAAAAAAGGACAGGAAGTGTGCTTCTTCTATTTCTTCTTATTGGTGGAATTATGTTACCACTAACCAAAGCCCATCTCCCACCTCCACATCTCCACCCTGGGCCACACCACCTGCCATGCACACCAGGCGTTGCTTTGGTTCGCTCTGGGGTCAGTGGCAGTTACCTGGGGCTGCACAGTGCCATGGGAGAAAATATCAAAATAAATAGAGGTGCTCTTAAGTAGCAGGGGGGAGGGTGTCCTGTTGGGCTTCTAAGATGACCTCGCGCACCAGCTCACGCTGAGGAGAAAATGTGAAAAGTTCACTGTGGTCTGGTGGATGTTTGGCTGGAAGATTCCTGCCACAATAGATGCTGCACCGGTTTGTAAAGTTAGTGGATCGGTCACCTCCAGGCTCTGAAGTCTTCAAGTGCTGCAGCCAAAATGTCACATGAGCCACCTGGAAAGACCTGCAGATTCAATTCTAATAAAAAACCATCTACTGCCAGTTTGTTATTACATTGTGTATGTGTAGCACTCATCGTGGTCAAAGTCAATATGATCGAACTGAACTAATTATCATTCATTTCAGCCTTAATGTGACTGAACACAGTCCAACACGACCAAACCGAGGCCCGAGAGGCCAAAATGTGCCACTTCAGAAGGCAAGAACATGACATCATGATGCCTGAAGCTCTACAGGGTCTAATTCAATCCATCAAAATGTCTTCAAAGTTGGGCCAGAGTTTATATTCCCCCCAAAAGCACAACGTTTTGAGGAGGTTGTGAATGTCGTCTGAATCTGCAGAACATTAGGCTCATGAAGCCGAATATCAAAATATCAAAAAGCGAAAGCTGCAGTTTTTGCTTTCAGAGATTGTTTTTATTTAGTTTGTTTGTGCTTTGTTATTTTTTGGAAGGACGTTAACATTCCTGAGCTGCACTTTACCGATCACCAGGATCATCAAACCGGTTCAATTCATCCAGACGACAGACCAAAGAGAATTTTAGATTAGAATACAATGAGGTTGAAGAGTTTTGTCATATAACAAATTTTACAGTTTAAAAAGGTTTTACAGGGACAGCATCAACAGAGCATCCGGCAACTATCAGGAAAGACACACATCATCTGTTTGAGAATTTAAACCATTTTAAATAGGATAAAATTATCACGTCTAAAAGCTTCTTTAACTGGCTGGTTCTGGCTTTGATATTTTTCATTTGGATATTTATTCAATCTAAAAGTGAAAACGAGTCAAAATAAGATTCATCAAAAGAAGCATGTATACACAAACACAAGAAGCTCAAATAAATCATGCCACTGACAATTCTTTTGAATGGATGAAAGGATTTATGACTGTTTATGAAAGTTAGAGATCAATAAGGTGTGGGCTTGAATTTTCAATAGGTAATGTACATTTTAATTAAATGATAATATGTATAATGTATTAAATATGTGTGAACAGAAATGTCGTCTTACTAGTGATTCTTTTTTACATTCGCCTCTGTCAACTATAATAAAAATCTGATCCAGCAGTTTTCATTCAGGGAAGCTTCAACTTTTACCAGAATCCTGTGCAAATCAGTTTCCACTTGTTCCAGTGTATTCTCAATTTATTTATTAATTGGTTTACAATTTTCAGGGGAACTTAAACATTCCTGAGTTTATATCCATTCCCCCTTTCTTTACTTCGTCTAAAAGTGTTGCTTAATTGTGTCACAAGACAAAAAGAAATAAGAAAACAGTCACTGTTCTCTGAGTTAAGTTTATTTGACATCCTGGAGTATTTACAGTGCTGAGGCTAAGGACAGCTATACAAAATACTTTTGAAAAAAATATTCCAAACCTAATAACTTTGTAAATCTTTTTATGATCCACTCTTCACTTGAATGATAAATACAACAGCTTCTTTACATGACCAGCACTAAACCTTCAAACCAGCTTCACTACCACAACCACATTTCCTTTAAAAACCTGCCTGCACACACGCTCTGCAGTGTGTTTATTAAATGTCTTGTGCCATCTTTTAGCACTTGAGGTACTGCTCTCATGCCACATTGTAGTGCTATCTGTAGTTTTTTGCACAAGTGTAAACGAAAGGGCTTCCTGCAAACTTAAAGAATCTTTTTCCCATTTTTAGTCCATTTATGGCAAAAAAAACCATTTAATAATATAATAATTATTTTATGCAAGACATGTTGCTTTGTGTTTTAGGACTGTGATTTTTTTCCCCAGGCAGCTCACGGTTTCCATGAATTTACAGAAGATATAAAAAAGAATTATCACATCATTGAAACATGCCTGAGCTGTTGGTCCGTGTTCATTTTTCCATTATTGTTGTAATGTAATGATTATATGACACTGTGATTTATTACTCAACTCAAGCAAGTTTCACGAGTCTCAAAAACATTACAATTATTGAAATTTATAGCTGCCTGATTTTTGTCTACCAATAAATGTAGATAAATGTAAAAACTGAAACTGTTCAGCTGAAGTCTACACACCACATGAAGCTAAAAACTAAAGACACTGTTAAAGTCCTTTAATGCATTTCAAGACATCACATGGAGCGATGTGGATCCAAAACCTCTCTCTGCCAGACTCCATTTGACAACGTTTGCTGACTTGAGGTCAGGCTGGCAGCGCGGTCTGAGCTGAGAGGGACATTCTTCATCTTATCTCAGTGTGTTGTGCAGCACTCATTTCACCAGGCAACGCATTTTGGACGTCTAAGGTTACATATAATTTACCCACAATCCAAAAGTAAACAAATGTAATGATGGCTGGTGGATGACGTTGAGGTTTAACAATATCATTTCAGAAGCAGTAGAAGTCTGAGAGTCTGGTAGATCTGGACCTTGTGACAAGATGAGCTTTAATGTCACCTGTCTGATAAGGTTTTTTATGCCATAACAATCCAAATTTTCCAGTTATACATTCACAGCTGTATAATGACAGTTTGATGACAGACACCCCCACTCGCTCGCTGTCCCCCGCAGGGCTTGACGAATCAGTCACCCCCCCTGAGGGAGGACCGTCCTCTTGGGTTTCACAACAGCCTCCAAGTGGGGAAAGACCACCACATCTCTGGCATACGCCACTCTCCGAGACACAAATCCCCATCAGCTCGAGTACAGTCAAAACACACCCTCCAGACATGTGTAAGTGAAAGATAGAAGAAAAATAAATAGAGAGACATGCTGGAGAGATATGCATTTCCTGCCAGGGAGCCACTCTGCAGCTCAGACTATTTGTTTTGACATTAATTAAGTTATCATTTCTAGGCAGCCGACCAGCGAGGAACCTCTGAGCCTGAGGTTCACCACCTCCGGTGGGGCAGTGTTTGTGAACGGACGCCTTAATTCAAATACACAGAGAAGGTCGTTATAATCAACGGTTGAAAATAAAGAAAACAGACTTCTAATTCTAACACCAATGTTTGTGTTTGGCTCATAAAAGCAGTAATTTCATGCCGGCTGTTGGTAAGCAGGAGCTAAACATATCCACAGAATGGAGAAATTGCACAGATTTCTGCCCTTTATTAAAGTTTACTCTTAAGGAAGAAGAGAAGAAGTAGAAAAGGCACATCTCTTCCCATGGTTACAAACTATATTTACCGCCAAGAAAGAATATCAGTGTGGAAACAACAGTTCAGCATGTTCAGAAACAGGAATCCACAGGTACTCCACGTCCTGGTTCTTATTTCCTGCCATCATTTGCATATGGAGCGTGTCATTTGCTGAAGGTTTGTGACTTCGCTCGGCGTGTTTTGGTGCTGGTTGGCTGCAGTCACATTCAGGCCCTGATACTTGAGCAGAATCACCGTTAGAAAAGTGCCTGAGGATATTTGGGCTGTTCTGGGTCCTATTGGTCTTAATTAATTTCCAGGAGAGGGAGCCCACGTTTTCAGCTGAGTTTAAAAAGAACAGCTGCAGTGGGGATTCAGCACAGGTGATAAAATAACATTATACATGTAAAACTAAATACATTTATCTTCATGGAGGAAAGAAAGGACCATTGGATGCTCCTAATAAAGTCCCACTAAAGATTTATTTGATAACTTAAGACATCAAATGTGTACAGCACTGCCCTGAGCAATTCTGATGCACGTATATTTTGATTTTGAAAATGCTATATGTACATTGGAGCTGTACTGGAGTTAAAGTTGTATCTATGTTAAATGGTGCTGTGTCAGGGCAGGGAAAAAAAAGAGATGTCGTTGTCTTGGAGTTGGTGTTTTACTTGTACACTTTGTCCCTTTTCTTCCCTCCTCCCCAGCCGCCGCTCAGCTGGACCGGATTGTCTCGGAAGGAGATGCGCTCCTTTCTTGATGGAGCAGACTTGACGCGGTGCGGAGATAGAACCTCTTTTCCTGGACACAAATATCAGAGTGGGACACATCAATACTTCACATGTACACTGAGCAGAGTGAAATCAATCAATCAGACTCCAAATAGCAATCCACGATATTCTTTAGTTGAAGGCACTGCCTTAAGCTTCTTGCACTTCCCTTTAAATATTTAATACAGGTCAAATCAAATAAAATAAGTTTCTATAGTAACTTGGTCAGAATGGTAGTGTATCTTTTTTTTGTACACAAGGAGGAGCTCATAGAATTCATGAAATTCTTCCTTTCTCCTGGGAAAATGAGTCTGCTTCAAGTCAAAAATTCCAAGAACAGAATTATAAAGGGCGCTGTCGATACTACTTACGTACATTTGACCTCAAGAAAAACAGTGTGAATTTAAAGTTGCTTAGTTAAATCTAAACGTTAAAAAACAGCCGGACTGAGATTTCAACGAAATGACTTTTCATTCTGTCATATCATTCCTTTAACACAAAACCTTCTTCCTACAGGACACAACTGGAGCTTCAGTGAGTAGATAAAGTGTGTGCTTGTGGTCTCTGGCTCAGTGGACAGTAAAGACTTAAGCGTGAGCAGGTTTTGTGTTTGTGTGCGCCGGCTCCCCGGGGCACTGGTGCGATGTATCACAGCTCCTTCCATTTCACCTGGGGATCAGTACAAAGCTTTTCAAACACACAGAACAAAGGCGGTGCTTCTACCGGGCATGATGCATTCCACGTGTAGAGCCCAGGCCAGCAGTCTCCACGGCCAAGCCACACAGGGAGCCAAACAGTGGGGAGAGCTCTGGGGGAGGCGGGGGGGCCCGGGACGCTTTGCAGGTACTGACCCGGCTCTAAATATCTGCACAGCTGGCACACTGTATAGAATATCCCTCCACTCATGAGTCAGACCTAATCACAGCTCTCTATTTTTTGATTTTATTCACGTTCCATGGAGTGACGCTCTCTCGTAGTTTGCGTAATATAGTTTCAAGATAACCCACCACAGTCCTCCATGTTTATTTTCAGAAATTTCACTCCAGCTGTGGAGGCTGAATTTAGTTTATTAAAGACTTTCGTCCAATTATCTGTTCTAAATCAGAAACAGAACCCCAAGCCCCCGATGCACATGTTGCTAATTTTAATGCGAGCTCTGCAGCCATGTTATTAAACGTACAGAGATAAAGAAATGGCCACACGTTTGAATCAACCGCTGTGACCAAACAAATTGTTTTCGATCATTTTACTCCTATTATCATTGAGCGGCGCGCAGAATTGAGGGAGCAGATATGCAACTTAAGTGGTTTCCTCTGCACACATAATGAAAATATTTTGTGAGCCTGGAAACGCATTTTATGGCACCATCCCAGCAAGTGGTGAGTATCGCATTGCAACAGGTTATAGAGTATTTATGGAGTCTTTACTGCTATGGCAAACGAAGTGAACCCTCCAACTTTAAACCTTCACTTTGATGTGTGTGTGTCCCTTCCCAGTCAAAGAATAGACAACTTTACGATAAACAAGTTTTTTTTGGAGTTACACTCTTTTACTGACTCATACAGGCTGAGCATTAAAGATGCCACACTCCTGTTTTCCTGATTCAACCCAAGTTAATTAAATGAAGTCCCTGTGAGTTGAACTGGTGCACTACACAGACCATTAGATGTCCTTTCCATGTTTATGAAATATCTAATTGGCTTTTTGAAAAATGCTCTGGCCTTACACACACATTCATATTTCAATTTGCCCGGTGCGATTGGTGTTTTCATCGGTGCAGACAAAGAGGCTCTCTCTGTCCATCGCTGAGCTCCTGAGGAGAACAACAGTCTGTCTGCGTAGCACGGCGACGTTCGCAACCGCTTCTACCTCGTGGATAGCATTTTAGAAATTATCATCGGAATCCAATTTGGCTTCGTTAACAGGGACAGGGCTCCCCCTTCACTCGGATTCCTGGGCTTGTTTAATGTGATCATCTGCTGTCAGCCCGTCAGTAACATCTTTGTCACTCAAACTCCTGAGCACTGCTTCTCCTGACAGAAGGGCCAGTCATTCTTCACTGAAAGGACAGATTTTTTTTTTTCCTGCCCGTTTCCTGTAAGAAGAGAAATTCACGGCACTCTGTCCCCGGCCCGACCTTGTGGCACCCCCGCCTTCCTCCCTCCCGTTCCACAGCAGCCGACCAGTGGACTCAGTCTAGGCTGAATAAGCAGCCGTCTTTATCCCTGGCTCTGTGCACTCAGGTCTGTGTGACCTGAGACTTGCCTGTGCAAGTGTGCAAACACTGAAACATCTGTACACACATGTACTAAATGTAAATGCACTGCATACACATCTGTGCTTCTCTTAAGTTTTGGCAGTTTTAAGCACAAAACTGCTCAGAAAGTTTGACATCGGTGCGTCTACACCGCTTTATGTAGCAAAATTGTGCATTTACTTTACCAACAACTGGCTGATAGCAAAAAAGACACATATTTTATATATATATATATATATACATATATATATGTATGAACTAGGTACAGTTAGAGTTGGCTGAGAAAGAAATCCTTTTTTATGTTACTCCTTATAGTACAAAAGATTTCTACATTTCAAAACATTTGTATTTGTCCATCTCTAAGTACACAGTATGCACTGGATACTATATATGCATTTATGTTCAAAAACAATTCCTAATTTCTTGAAAAATCTATAAAACCTGACCTAAACCCCTTTAAATAACATAATATGTCTCTATTACCCTTTCTATTTGTACGAGAACGTTCAAGTGACAGAAGTAATTTACTTTGAAGGCATGATTGTCCTGACTTTCAGAACATTGTAGGAAAATGCATATGTGTTCTTTGGATTCTGTTCAATGTTTGGTGTAAAATTGCCGGTAACACATTGATCTCTGGTAAAAAAAAATGGCTGTGAAATTCACAAGACTTACTTGCATGACCCAAAGAGTTGCTGCAAAGATAATTTCTCTCTTTGCAGGGTTGGGCAACTAAACTGCTGCTGGCCCACAATCCACTGGCGTGATGTAGACGTTCAGCCTTTGCTGGGTCAGCCTGCGCACACATCACGCAGAGACACAGAAACACACACACACACATAAAAGAGGCCCAAAATGACACGTCTCACGCAAGCAGTCCAGTATTTTGAAAAACATTCAACAAGCAGCAGCTCTGCAGTCTGAACATATCTAAGAAACAGGGGGAAGGGGGCGTCTCCTCTAGCCAGTGATCATAACTCAAAGTGCTGTATAACGGCACAGGGAGACCTGCGGTTTCTGACTTCAAAGACCTTACGAGCATCAGTATCGTTCTCGGGTTCAGACAAACTGCTCCACAGTGACACTGGGATTTCTGCGAGTGAAATAAAGAAATTGCAGCCAGTTGATCCAATTGAAAGTGTCACTGTGGAGCTAAACTGCCGACTCTCTCCCCTCCTCCCCACATTTCCTCCTTTAAATCGAAGCTGATGAGACAGGCTCCAGGAGAGGGAACCTACAACGCGTTTGATGACTGTGACTGGCAAAAGTAAATACTGCATACCTTCACATGCATGCAACTGCCCCCCCTCACACACACAGAGAGAAATTATTCAAATGAAGATTCAAAGTACAAGGGTAAACGGGAGGGGACTGTACTCACCACCAGCTGCACTCTGCCTCCATTCAGAACAACGGAGCTGATCTCTGGTAGGAAATGTTCACTGAGAATAAGACAGAAAATGTGTTCAGGGATATTAATGCTTGGTGCATTTAGAAATAAATTCCTCCATCTTAAAGTCTAGGCAATCAAATATCATACAACTAGAGTGGACCTCAGTAGAGTGCATATCTCTGCCAAGGCCCCCTTATGAAACCACATTTAAATTCACTGGATCCAGATTTTTATTTGGATCTGCACCAATTACCCTCACTCATAAATATTCCCAAACTATGCCTGATTTTTTTCATCAAGATCCATGAATTTATAATGTTGGGAGAGATTAAATAAAGTATAAAATCCTTGGCAGAGGTTAAAAAACAGTGATTCCATGAATGATAATGTTAATGAGCATTTTAGGACAGTGGGCAGCAGACGCCTCCATGCTCAGTGCCTCAGAGAAGATCTGTTAGTCTGTGATTCAGTACACAGTGATTAAACTCCAGTGTCATTATCTATTTTAATATTTTGATAATTTGTCCCTGGATATATAAAAAACAAAAAATCTGTAGAAGACAGATAATGTGTTTTTACTAAAAGGCAATTTATTGCTTAATAAATTGAGACAAATTAGATACATTTTTAAAAAAGCAAAATAAAACCCGCCCAGCTCTTAAAAAATACCCCACTTGGTTGTTTGACCTTCACTGTGAAGAATCATGTAAGTTTAAGACTTCAGTGTTTTGCATGTTTCACTTGGTTTTTTGACATCACAACTTGTCTGGTTGCCAATCATGGCAATGACTTAACTTACACAAGTGTGATGAATGCGTGTCAAGATCTGCCCTTTTAATGAAGTAGGAAATATCTCGTGTTTAGTAGTAAAACTGAAAAATATACACTTTATGCATCGTCATGACTTCTAGATTATTAAATGTGGGAGAAGGGGGATTATTAAAGAGGTATCTGAACTTTATTGTGGAGAAATCCAATAAAACTCTGTTGTTACTTAAACTTTGGAGTTTAACAGTGATGGAAGCTCATTAAAAGACCAATTACAGGAAAAAAAAAAATCATACTACCCCCACTGGTATCAAGCCATGCAAACGTTTCAATATCTTTTAGATTTCTTGTTGCTGTATTAGATTATATCGGATAATCCATTGAACTCAAAATGACAGACATTTCAGAACCTGGTCAGATTAAACCAAAGCTAAGCACATGGTTCAATCCAAAAAGAAGAAAACACAATTTGGTCATGTTACCCTTTAAAGAAATGTATGTAGTCCACATGCCCCCTCACTGTATGCCCCACATTGAGCGGCTCACCTCTCTGAGTCCCTGTCAGACTGGGTGTGCAGCCACTGCTGAGCTCGTTCCTGCTTCACTTGCTCCGTCTGCTCCGCCTGCTGAAGGTCCAGCTCAGCTCTGCACACTGCACTCGACAGAAAACATCAAATACATTGTTTTGGCGGTTAAGTAACATTCTTGTTGACAATTGTGGCAAAGAATGAACATAGAGGCTGGGGTGAAGGTGGTACCTTTCTAAATGGCAGGGTGCTTAATCAATACCGCAGTGAAGGACTTGTGTTAACAGATGCTCACCGAAGTACGAGCTCAACAAATAAACAGCTCGTGGGCCTGATCTTCAGTAACACTAGATATGTTTCATTGTAATGACAGTCGGTCAGGGCTCCCAGCACTGGAACACAGAAGTGGTCAAACCTCCTAGTATGTTTTGGGATAAGGCGGTGTACTTGTTTGGACGACTGTATAATACTGGATCATTTAGAGTTGCTGAAAGATGAAATGAGTTCTGTTTTCTTTGGGGGGTCTTGTGGTTCTGTGTAAAAATGGAACCCAAGCAACAATCCAACAGTTTGTTAAAGACAGAAATCAGAAAGGGATCTAGCTGATTGACGAGTTATGCCGGAATCCCATAATAAAGTCATATTTCAAAGTAAACATTTATGTTGCTGAGACAGTAATGCTGCTGTGGTGGGTGCCAACTGATAATGAGTTTTGACAGCTCAATGCTGGAACTAATGATGCATTTACTTAGGCCATTGAGCTGTAAAAAAGAAGAGGAAAGCTATACAGTTCTAATGGGTTAATTGAGGAGCGCCACTAAAAACGTCAAGTGATAGATGCGTCCCCCTCGGGGCAGCAAAGGCCAGGAAATGGCTACTTGCATTCCCGAAGCTGAAAATACACAGAGAGACGAGGGACAGGTGATTCACAAAAAAAAAAAAAACACTCAGAGAATTATGTTTTTGAATAGGAGCTTATGCTTATATGAAAATTTGTTATAAAGGCTGAAAGTAATTTGAAATCTCTGGCATAGTATCACAAAATGACACTCTGTGTGTACACAAATATACAAGATCAATGAAAATAATGAAAAAAGTTTGCATTTATGTTGCAATTCAATGACATAAAGAGACTCTCTTCTTGTTTTCCCCTCTGAACCTTCCACTGAAAACCCCTCCTGACCCCCTCCAACCTCCTGAATCCCCCTCTAGTTCTCTTCCAGGACATCAGAAGGGGCCTGTAGGAGTCACGCCTGTTAAGAGGGGCTCTTAAGCACATTAAGCGATCTCATCTCCACTGAGGTGGAGACCAAATATCAGAGAGCTGGAGAGGAGGAGGGTGGAGGCTTCGGCCCGCAGCAAACCAGAGGTGATACACAGAGCTGGGACTTTAGAGCCTCCTCCCCTCCAATGTCTCTGCAGAAACAAACGACACAGTCACGACCAGGACCACTGATCTCTATTAAGAAATTAAAAAGTGCCCTGAATGAGCTGTAGTGAGCGAGCATCCTCAACAAACAACTGGTTTCTAAGATGTCAGAGTGGGATGGGGGAGACCAATCAGGGGCTATCTGACGATGACTTAGCCTCTATATTTTACGGCCTCTGGTGTAGACATCCAGGCCAAGACTGTGTTTTCTGTTAGCCGTACACTGTCCACAGTCCAAGTCAAATGTTTCTTTAGACTAAACACAACCAGCAATGCTTTATGTGAGTGTTTTAGGTCCAGATAACATTTTGGCTTATCTCACAGCTATCTGCATATGAATGCAGATAGATAAGTTAGATAAATAAGTCATAAGCCAATGCATTTCGCTCAATGTGTTCCTTTTGTGCTCCTCAGTTTGAAAGCCTGCTCAGATATGATTGGTTTGAGTAGAAACTTGTCTATAGGGATTAGGGTAAAACAATAAGTAAACAGTCAATAGGTTGTAAAAAAGCGAAAGTTTAACCAGATTATTTAAACCCCTTCATTTGTATGTGAATCAGAACGTGAGTGTACCAGTAATGGTGATAATTTTGCTGCAGTAGAGCCAAATACAAATCAGCAACTATGAGTCTTTCACAGACATATTGGTAAAAGCATTTATGTTGGCCCGAAAAGAAAAGATGTACATTTATGTAAATACTTATATTCAAATTTTATATTTGGTTGCATTTCTTTTTTTTTTTTACTAATTACCATAAAGTTTATAGTTGTAAAATATAAAATATCAGGCCTCAATTACATTTGTTTCTTTATATATGTGCACACAATTTCACAAAATCTTACATAATCTCTGTTCTCTCAATAAAAAGGAAGCTGCCTACTGTGTGACCACCCCACACCTGGCTGGTCACTGTAGAAGGGTCCTGGAATCCTCCTCATACACTGTTGGATGACTATTAAACAGCCAGATAATAAACAGATAATATAGTTTATTGAATAAAGAGGCCTTTACCATTCATTTTATTTTTTTACCAAATATTTTAAGCTTCTAATTTGTTAAAGCTACCAAAATAAAACACTATTACACGGTATTTTACCAACCTTTTCATTAACTATGGAAAATCCTTTCTAATGTATCTGTGAAATAAAACAGTTGATGTGTCATGTTAATTGTTCAAATTAACACAATTTCTAATATAGACTTACTTGTACTCATCCTGCTCTAGATACTGCAAAAACTTTACTTTAGATTTACTAAGAAAAACAATCCATGTCTCAGCCCCTTACATTCTTTGTTTTTGGTTTGAAAGCCATTCTGATGGAAAACATGGCACAAAATCCTGTCTTCATGGACCTTGCAAAGTGGAAGAAGAATCAGAGCGTGTCTGAAACTTGACTAACTCAGTGTTTTTAGTTGGACGTCTGTCTCTGTGAGTGACTCAGACTGCTGCACCTCAGCACAACATTGGCTCAGCGAGTTTCTTCTTTGAGTGTGCCAGTGCACCTCAAACATATACGATGAGAAGAGAGCTCCAGCCTGAGATAAAAGTAAGCGCTGAGATTACGGGGGTGAAATTGAACGCATATGAATGGTGGTAAATAGTCTGACACTAAGTTATTTTGGATGATGGATGATAAACAAGATGATTGTGTTTCAGTTGAGCTTTGTAGAGGAATTGAAGTGTGAAATCGAGTTAAGTGCTCGGGAGGTAGAGGTTCCAGGCTGAAATAAAAATATATACTCTCGTGTCCCTCTGACATGAGGACGGATGTTTGGTGGAGCTTGATCTCAGTTTGGATGGAAGAGGAAGGTTGGAGTAGTGTGTGTGTGTGTGTGTGTGTGTGTGTGTGGGTGTGGGTGTGTGTTTGGCCTTGTTTTGCGGTGGAGACTGACAGCTTTGAGGGGACCGTATAAGTTTGAATGCTGATTGAGGCTTAGACTTGGTTTGAGGGTTGATGTTAGGCAAAGACTTGGGTTTAGATTAGTTAGAGTTAAAGCTAGGCATTTAGTTTTCAAGGTTAGATTAAGAGGCAAGGAAATGCTTTACATCAATGACAGTTCCCAATGAATGTAGTAAGACAAGGATGTGTGCATGTGTGTGTGTCCGGGGGGGGTGAGTGGAAGGAGCTGGTAGAAAGTAAGAGGAGAAACAAGGAGGAGTGCTTTGAATCATACAACATCTTCAGCATCTGCTCTATCCAGACACTTGACAATACAAATCATCTAGAAAAAGGGAAGTGCATTTCTCTTTTTTTTTTCTTTTTTGCCTTTAAAAGAAAATGTCTTGAGGCTCTGCTCCACTCTCTCCCTCTCTCCCTCTGTCTCTCTCTCTGTCTCTCTCTCTGGGTATGTAAACCGATACCCATTTCAAGTGGGTTACTCATGTCCAGCACATCCACACAAAGAGCCCGGATAAAATAAACACGCCGCATCGGATATCTTGGAAAGAATCTGTCATGGGTTTGAGGCTAATCACCTCCAGAAGGGGCTTGACTCAAAGCCTGAAATGCTAGCCCCTGTCGGGGAGCGCTGGTTGGGCCGGGTTGGGCTGGCTAGGCCCCGGGCACTGGGGATGGATCCGGAGGAGGGGGTGCTTTCCACAGGTCAGGACCAGGGAAGCGAGAGGGGAGGCTGGCCTGGGCCCATTTACACAGGACCAGGATCACCGCACGGAGAGCCAGTTTCCGACACACCACTGCCACTGTTGACACCGCCTCTAGGTTACTCTGTTAAAAGGCGGCAAGAGTCTTCTCGCCTAGAGCCAAGCTAGTTAACCTTGCACATTTTACAGCATCAGATCAGAAAAGCAGCTGAGGACAAGGAGTATTAAGAAGAGAGAGGGGTAACAGTCTGACCCCTGTTACATTATCAATTCATGTAGCGGCTTCGCTTCATTCCTTGACAATATCAGTCCTGTTTGATGAATTATCAAGACAACGGTGGAGGGGATGGATAAGGATACTGAAAAGAAACAGAGCTGAGAATATTGTTGTAACTCAATAGGTGACTTGGATGTAGCAGATCCTGAACCGCCAGCTGGCTGAGAGCTTATCGATGCTGTGTTGGGCTCAGACATGATTTCAGTGTCACGAAACACAGTGTTGGAGAGTTGATAATACACCTGCAGGTCAAAATAAACACTTTATAACATTATGATTCTGCCATAGTCTTACTCAAATTAGCAGAAAAAAATCAACTGCAATCAACCAAATTATTGGTCTATGGTGTAACTTTGGAAATTTACTTACAGCTAAAAACAATAGAGGTCTTCAGTATCTTTAAAAACATGGAGTATTTGCCTGATCTTAAGCTGCACAGTGAAGTATCAGCTTTGAGAGAAACAAGGGGACAACTTTGAAACTATGACCTAAGCACTTGACCCAAATGAGAAAAAGTGGACTGAAAAACATCCCTGAGTTGGAGGTACAGTTTGTTTTGTCAAACTGTCAAATGAAATGACAAATAAACATACTCTATTTATCCAAAGCCAATCAGGGAGTATTTCATGCTAATGGCAAAGCGTGAGCTTTGTCCCAGCAAATGTTGGCAAACACTGTTGTTGCAGCGTCCCTCTGACGGCTGGATGACTGAGCGTCATGCTTGCTGGATGTGAGGCCTTGACTCCAGTGGGTGCGGGTGGGGTGCAGGGGAAAGATGGTGACAGGCCCTCCTGATAAAAAACAACTTCCCCCGTCTTCCCTGCTGCATTGCCTAAAGCTCTTCCCTCCCTTTTTAACTGACTGGATGTCACAACTCCAAAACGTTCCTGCACTTCAGGGCAGGACAGGAGACAACAGCAGAAAGAGATGGAGAGACTCTTTTGAAGGATGTGAGTCCATAACAATAGAAAGTAAGTCTTCAGAAAAACAAAAAGCATTTCATCTGTGATCAATTAAAATCAGTTGGTTGCTGGTTGTACCCAAAGTACCCTGTATGTCTGTCTGTCATTGCCACTGTTCATTATATCAGCTTCACACTTCAAGTGTGTTCTTAAGGAGGAAATGCAAAATCAAATTGTTGAGATTTGGACATATGATACGTTTTTAAATTAATACAATTTAATCAGTGTTTAATCAGCCTTTAGTCAGTGGACCAGGTTGAACATGTCTTCTATGTCCTCTGATAAACTACAACAGCAACTGGGTCAAACTATGGGATTATTACTTATGTTGAAAAGTTGTGTACTTGGGTCTGATGATTGTGTTGATTGCTTGAACAGACCTCTGAATTATGCAACATGTAATGTATAAAACCATGAACAGCAATAAAGCAAGTTCATTTTCATTTCATGAAAAACTATAAAATCTTCATTGCAGATAAACCAGGTAGGATCAATGCAAAGTTGTTAAACTTCACTGTGCACCATAGACTCTGAACACAATATTCAGCACACAAACAATAAAAAAGTGCCATTGTAGAACTGCTTGAGGAGAACTCACTAAAGACAAGGAACAATTCTAAAGTAATTCCACAGCATTAACACAGGCCAAGAGAACAGCCCACTCCAAACAGACAGATTAAGAACAGTTGCTGCACTAGTTTAATGAAAATAATAATAACGTATTTCCCAAGCCTGATCGTATGACCACATGTATTTCTTGCCTTGTCAGATCATTGAGGCAAAATGCTGCTGTCTGCACAGATCTCGCCTTCTTATTATGACCGATGAAGACATTCCCAAAACTTCAAAATGAACTGAAATGATCCTTTACTCATAATCCTCAACTATAATCTCAAGTGAACAACTATCATTTGTAATTGCTCACAAAATTGGATTTTGTGAGCAATTACAAATGATAGTCACTCTGATATACTTCTAAGTCCTGCTGGGCCCTCACATTCTTCTGCTTAGGTAACAAGTGTGTTGTGTGTTTTGATAAGTTCAACATGTCAAAATTAGTAGTCAGGAAATTATCTGTTCCCAATTGCAGCTTGCATGTTGCATGATTTGTGAAATGGGCCTCTAATCTCTACAGATTGTTCAATAAAAGCGGTATTTACCGGTGTTGCTAAACGGTTACCAAATGTGTAGCATGTCCTGAATCCTACCTTTCATATGATTTCTGTTGTGTGGGGCAGGCCTGTTTCGTGCCTCCACTGGAGCCTGCTGGTATTTGCAGTTTCTGAACAATGCAAGGCAGACGGAGGGATCTAGGAGAGAGAGAAAAGGAGGGTCAAAGAAGGACAAGGCAGGCCTAAAACCAGAAGCAGAAAACCAGGACCTAACATTCGGAAAATATTAGAACAGCGCTCTGGTTCCACTGAGGCAGACGCCATTAAGAGTTACAGCTGACATAGACCTGTGTGTCGGTGGAGCAAGATGACAAGAGCCTTGCTATTGGAATCATGCATTTGCAATTCTGATCAAAGCGCAGCCTCTGTCTACACGACCATGGCATGATAACCATGGCAGGACTACTGTTTCTTGGAGCAGAGCAGAGGTGAGGTCACCTTTCAATGCAGCGGCACTCAACCACTACAATGAGTGAAAGTCATCATGGGATGAATTGTCAAGAGGTTTCTTGGCAATCGTTATTTCCTTTGCCGGCTCTCAAGTAAGACCCAATAAGAGGCGACAGGCCCTGGCTTCTGCTGTCTGTTATGGCTCATTAACATACATGGGGTGGAAAGGTTCACTGCTGTTGAAGCACAGTTGAAGGAAAAAAGATGATATGGACAAGAAGCAAAAATTAGTTTGGATTTTTTGTTTCCTTTTAGAAAAATGGATTTATGTCATAACAGCAGTACATTCCACATTGTGTGTGATATTTGGTGATTAAAGGTTAGGGTTGAGGAGACAGACAGAAAAGAGCGTGTGATCTGCCTTCATATAATTCAAATGTCTTCATTTGCCCTAACCTGTTTTTCTAACAAAAAAACTAAACCAGAAATATTACACAAACAACAGAGAGAAATGTTCTACACACACTCACCTTTATGTTTAATCTGCTGTTGCTTCTTCGACCTCATCTTCTGAGCTCTCTTGAGCATCAGAAGCGCTGTGTTGCTGTCGTGGAACCCCCTGGCAGACAAAAAGAACAGACATGTCACACAGCTAATCCCATTCAGTGGAATAACAATACACATGCACACACACACACTCTATCTAATCATTAGGACACCATGTAGATGATTTACCATTCTTGCAGAATCTTTTCTGATCTTGCAGAGAGACCACTGAGCGCTGCGGTCGAAGCAGGAGATTTGCTTCTGAAAACAAAAACATAATTGTCTTTAAAAGATGAAGTTTGCTCATTTTCAAATATCACCATGCATACTTTATTTATTCATCATGTATGTGAAAACTGTGGTAATACTATCAGTATGCTATTGATAAACAAGCACAGAAAGCTTTTAATGTGACCTTTTTTTCTCCTCTGTTTTTGGATATTGATTGTTTGTTTTCCACATGTAATACATGTACTTGTATGTCACCTGCACTGTGGTACTAGAGCAAATCGCAGAAGTACATTGGAAAATTAGAGTAAACAATCTTGACTGAAATGTTCTAAGTAATTTTGCTTTAGGTTCCATGCATCATATGGAAGTCAGGTATATGAAAGTGTGAACATGAGGAATCCAGTTAACACCTCCAGTTTGTCCGGGAGCTTCATGTGATTTTGGGTGCAGACTCAGAGTCACATAGGAAAATTATTGGAAAATCAATAAAGGTGTACCAATAAACACTTTTCACACTCATCACTTGAAGATGAATTCCTTATCTGCATTAAATAGAGTCAAAATTGTATAAAAGCTGCTTCAAATAGAGATCAAGTGGCTCATGACTAACACTGTTAGTTCTCACTAGTCAATGACAGTGACTAATCAGGCCGTGGGTTGACTTACCTGATAGAACTCTCTGGTGAAACTTTCATCCCTGTAGACTCCACCTGTTCTCCTGCCTCCCAGGCCTGCTTTGGCCTCCATGAAGGTGATGGTGGGCGTGTGCGCTGCGAGAGTTCAGGAAAGGGCCCAGGAAGCTGAAACACACACCAATCACTGTCAGCAACTATTCACAGTTCTTGTCACTTCTTTTGAGGACATTTTCAAAATGCATCACCTCCTTGGCAGAGGTGATGTTTTCATGTGTGGCGTTTGTTAGTTGATAGGGTTACACAACAACTCCTGAATGAATTACCACACCAAGGATGCTGTATGGGTCAGCGAGGAACCCATTACATTATAATGAGCATCTAGGACTGGATCCCGAATTTTTCTTCACTTTCTTTGATTCATGGATCTTGATGAAAAAAAATCTGACATGTTTAGGAGATTGATATTAATGAGTGTGAGAGATTTGGTGCAGATCCAAATAAAAATCTGGATGTCGTGAATTTACATGTGGTTTCAGTGGAGACTGTTGGGCCTTGGCGGAGGTATGTGCTCTATTGAGAACCATTCTCGTTTGTTTCTTTTACTTATTTGAAAGGGAGAGTAGACAGTTGAAACATAAATGTCACCAGTTGATGAACCATACCATTTTATAGCTTCAACTAATTTACATCTATAGTCCCTTAATCATAGTCTTGCTTTTTAGACAAAAGTGTGTACAGCAGCCAACCTTCATATTAGTTTCAAAAAGTGTATTAATCATATAAAAGTTGTTCTATATTAAGAAGAAAATTTGACCATCGGAAACTTGTGTAAATGTGAATCCTTATCTGAGGTGTGTAAAGCTGCCATGCTGCCGCTCTAAAAAGAAAACAATGCTTTTATCTGCAACATGAGGGAAAATGAAATCCAATGTTTACAATAATGTTCAGTCCTATTTAAACAAAAGTGCATGTTTTCATTTGGGGTATTTGGCTGACAATTCTAACCAAGGCAAGTTTACACACTCACGGAACGCTCACATGTAAGTCAAACTAACTAACTTGATTATTCTTTAGGTCCCATTTTCTCTTTCTCCAAGGGCTAAATTGTTCATCCCCTTCTTTGATGTGTACCTCACTGTCAACACAGTGAAACTAGCCATGACAGCAGCTGCAGCACATCAGCGGGCCTAAACCAGCTACCATGATGTACAGCGCTGAGCCTGCTCCAAAGAAAAGATCCAACAAGAGGTAAAGCGAGGAGGAAAAAAAGCATTACAGCCCGTCGTGTGAAAAATGACATCTGCTGGTGCTGAGCAACCTTCAGCCCTGCAGGAAATTATCTTGTTTTTTTTGGTTTTTCAAGAGAATAAATTTAAAGAACAATCAGGAAGAGTGAGACAAATTCTGGAAGGTTAGTTAGATGAGAAAGGGGAGGGGGTATCACACAGGGGCTGGTAAATCCCAAAATTCACAGCAATACCATGCTTTGAAAATATTAGAGACAGTTAGTTCACCTTCAGAGAAAGCGGCTGCTTTGAACCATAATGATGTCTGGAAGATGATTCTTCAGAAAGTGGCAATGTCCAGTGCTTCTCTAGCGCCGCCTTTGTGAAAACATAAGGATTTGTTTTTACATATTAGTAGTAGTATTATATACAGTATATTTCTAGCCAGCAACAATTAAACAAAAAAAGAGTGCCTTCAGAATCAAACATGTAATATTATATATAATATATAACATGCTGTTCTTTATATAAGGTGTAAAATATATAATAGAGAAAGAAGTTCTGTGTCAAGAACAAGTCGTTGGTTGTGTATTTTGTATTTTGTGTGTATAGGTATTATGATGTTTTTTTTTGCAGGTTTATATCATTCAATATCTAATGCCTCTTTGTCTATGCATGTATCTTTTTACAAATGTTCATATGTGCTGGTTTGTGTATGTATTGAGAGGGCGAGTATATATTTAAGAATCTTTGTATCAGCCTCTCTGCAGGTCTGTGTGTCTGTTGGGGCAAGGGTTGGGGGATTACTGAACCTCGAAAGTGAATAGCACATGAACTTGTGTGCATACCTCATCAAAGACAAATCCATCCACGTCTACCTCCTCAAAGGCTTCGTCCTCTCCGCTGTCGGGGCATGTGACAGCAGCTAGAGCAGTTGCAAGCCTCCTCCTCAGAGCGTAGCCCCTCCAGAACGCCTGGAGGTACCCAAAGAAAGAAAAAGCAGAAATGTCTCCATGAATCACGGAGCAAACGTAAATATTGTGTGTTATCCCATTAGGGAGATAAAACATGTTAACCCCTCTTTTAATTGCCGAGCGTTCTGCTGTCTGAACTCTGCGTGACTCCGGGCTGTTCCGAGACAAATGGAGTTTCAGTGTGCCTCTAAATCCTCCAATTCCCAACGGGCTGGGGGGGGGGGGCACACTTCACTTCAAGCTGCACCGAGCAGGAATCCTAGAACTCTTACTACCACACTTCTTTGGAATCTGATTAATCACAACCCCAACATGCATACACACTTCTCTACTACACCAGCGACCTCCCCTTCTAACTTAGAGAGCCCTGAAGGACTCATCAAACACTTTTTTGTGTTGAGAGGGGATTTGTGCTAAGTGTTGAGTAGCATGTTTTTTAGAACAGCAGCTCACGCCTGTGCAGAGGATTAGCCGAATAAACGTCCATAGCACGTATGAGGCCTGAAGATAGATGTTTGAGGGTGAAAGTGGAAATTTTCAGATATCCACAGCGTGAAAGTGACTTTAACCTTCTGCCACAAAAGTGTCGCTGGAGCTGGTGAGGTTTTAATTTACACATTGGCAGCTTATAGTCTATTGTCCATTCTGAAAAGCAGTTTGATTTGCAAATATTGAGAAATATAATGCATATACAATGAAGATATTGACCTGACGAATGGAATTTAATGAATTATTCTCCCAGTTAAAGCTACAGGTGTGTGGAGAGTAAAAACTGCAACTGACAACGTTTCAAAATTTCTGCCACATCAACTACTTCAACTGTTCACTGGATCAGACGACAAAAACATCCATATATTTGACAGAATTCCAACAGCTTTACCTGGATGATAGTTGCTGCATAATCTTGGCCAACAGCGCTTCTGTCAACATCAGACGGTCCTGACTCTGGCGTTCCTCCTTCTCCTCCTCTTTCACCTCCCTTCTCAGCTGTGGGGGGGCTGCTGATGTTCCCACGTTTCTGTCTGTACTTCCTCCACCGCTGCTGAATCACGACTGCTGCTGTGCTGCTCCATAAAGGACACATACACACACACACACATGCACACACAAAGTGAGGGATATATATGATGTCATAGCACCTCTCAAAACATAAATTTATCCCTGAGCAGACATCTGGAGCGCAGGAGGGTTTAAGCCTGTCCAGAGCCACCCTTCATATCAAAGATCTATTGTCCTCCCAAAGATAGCGCAGTGTTAATGATGAAGCTGCGTGTGAAAATGAATAGAATGTTCAACATCTTCTGCTATAAATCAAATAGAGGAGGCTTCAATGATGACGAACGCTCCACAGCAGAAACTAATAAAATGCTCAGCTGCTATGAAAATTATTATATTTTTTTAAAAAGAGGGTGTTTGCTTTCAATCAGTCTACAGTTATGTATCCTGGAAAAATGTGGACACTGTCAATACAAACAACAACTCATTGATTAGTTTCCAAAGTCATAGTGTTGATTAGGATGGATGTACACCACCTCTCCTTTTAAAGTTCACAATGAGGCTGCTGCCATTCACAGAAGACAATTGGTGAATTACTTTTTGGGGTCCAGGTCTTGATGGTTGGACACAGGAGCCATGTTAAGATGGGAGGAAGTGGTTGTTTCCATTGTTGCCAAGGAGTGAAGGTCTAATGTCCAGTTGATGTTGTTCCTGTTTAGAATGACTGGTGGGGGTTTTTCAGTGGACCCAATTTCTGAGTGCTCAGCAAGCTTTTTAGGACCAGCACTGTCCATGTCCAGTGTTTGGCCTGCAGACACAATGGTGTCACCGTATTCATGAGCAAACCTCTGGTCCACAGCAAGTTTTAGAGTCTCAGTGAAGTGTCGACAGGAGCTTTTTACAGCATCCAGGGGAGTTGGGGCATTACTGTGAACACACAAAAACACATTTCAGGCAGGAGTGTTCATTCTGTTTAGGATATCTGCATCCGCTGTAGCAGAATTAGAGGTACTAATGACCCACGAAAGAAAGGCGAATTATAACCTATCTCAGCTCCAGTCTATATCAATCACAGTCATGCTTACTCATCAGACTTACTGTTGGAGTGGCTCATGTTGACTGGACAGAGCCTCTTTTGGTATGAGATTCCTGACTATGCAGTCAAAGAACATATTAATAATAACAAGTCCTCAACAAAATGCTAATCCCAATGTAAAAGTGTAGCCGCATATATATACATTAGATATTAATGCAAGTTTTCCAATCCAACAGCTTTTATTTGTTTGTGTGTTGTGGGCAGCTCTGGCTCAGGAGATAGAGCAGGTCATCCACTGACCATGAGGTGGCTTGATCGCCATCTCCTGTAGTCTGTGTGCTGAAGTGTCCTTGAGCAAGAGGCTGAACATAAATGCATTGCATTAATGTGTGTGTGAGTGGCAAAACTGTATTGTGTTTTGAGTAAAATGTCCACTTTTTAAGGAAATCAAAGCTATAATAAAGAAACAGCACACATGACAACATGAGTATATTTGTTTGAAAGAGTCTAATCAAGATGTATTTTAAAAATTAAAAGATAAATTGTTCAAATCAACTGAATGGAAGCTGTTGACTCTCTCTATATATAGTATAAAGCTTAATTCAGCAGGCTCATTTCTTGAGTAATTCTCAATCAACACAGAAAAAATGGAATATCAGATTGTTTGATCTCATTCATGACTGGTTCATATGAAGTGAAGTAAGTGCACTAAGTGTGTGTGTGTGTGTGTGTG